CCAACTCCTCACCCAAAATTAAAATTTTGACGAGAGCTGATCAGAAATTGAGCGAAGGAGAGAAAAATCACTTTTTGGGGGGTTAATCTCCCACCCGGTCAAAAATAGATAGCTCAATTAAAAATGTAATGAAAAAATGTGAATATTGAAAAATGTGAAAATCTGTAGGATGTGTGCCTGTCTTTTGCTGGGATCACTGGTAACCTGTTCATCTTTGTAACCCTGATATTTTATGGGAAAGGATTGGGAACAGTTAAGAGAATCTAGATTTATTTACAGATTTGGTTTTTAATTTCCCCCTCCCTCTTCCCCCTCCCCCAAGAAAGTAACTCTTTATAAATTATAATTTAACATTCCGGTTGAGGATTATTTCCAAGAAGGCAGCGTGTGAGCTCTAGCATGCTTTCACTTTGGCTGTGTCTAGACTGGCCAGTTTTTCCGGAAAATCAGCCGCTTTTCCGGAAAAACTTGCCAACCGTCTACACTGGCCGCTTGAATTTCCGCAAAAGCACTGACTTCCTACTGTAAGAAATCAGTGCTTCTTGCGGAAATACTATTCTGCTCCCGTTCAGGCAAAAGTCCCTTTTGCGCAAAGCTTTTGCGCCAAAGGGCCAGTGTAGACAGCTCAGATTTGTTTTCCGCCAAAAAGCCCTGATCGCGAAAATGGTGATCGGGGCTTTTTTGCGGAAAAGCGCGTCTAGATTGGCACGGTCGCTTTTGCAGAAAGGGCTTTTGCAGAAAAGCGTCCATGCCAATCTAGACGCTCTGTTCCGAAAATGCTTTTAATGGAAAACTTTTCCGTTAAAAGCATTTCCAGAAAATCATGCCAATCTAGACGCAGCCTTTGTGTTTTAAAATTAATACACAAGACAAATCTCAAGCAAGGGAATTAGTTCCCAAAATGTACATTATAGTGGGGAAAATCCTGGTTTCATTGAAATCAATGGGAGCTTTGACATTGCCGTCGCTGGGGCGGGATTCATTTCTTCCTGTGCCTTTTCAAACTGCGCTAGTTTTTAATGTTGACGTTCCACTGATGTTTCTTTGACAAGCTGATTGTTGCAGGGAGCTTAGTTTCAATCGCTCATCCCCTCCCGCTACTTGCATGCACAAAGCTGTGCATGTGTGTTTTAAGAGTGGATTTTGCTGTATTAGGCAGGATTCCCCAAAACCCAGGCATGGCTTTTCCTTGTCTTTTGGTTGTGGTTTAAATGACTTACCACTGCGAAGACTGGTTTATACAACAAAACACCTCAGTTAACCTGGGAAGAGGGAAGTCTGATGCACAATGATTCAGTCACTTGAGATCTGTAATACTTGGGAGTCACTCTGGTTGTTGGGCTGAATATGGGGTGGTTGAATGGTGTTTAGTGCTCTCTGACACTCGGGAGGTCAGAATAACCCAGAACTCTCTGACTCTAAAAGCATTAATGATACATTTCAGTCCATTTTGTAGACCTAATCTCTGTAAATATATTGCTTGGTAAGTGAAGAGTAATATTATTTTTTATGTTTATTAATGATTTAATAATCATTTAATAACGTAATAATAATGATTATATATATATATATATACTATACACTCTGCCCTTTACAAACCAGGAATCATTCTTGTATAGCAATTCCGATGCCCACTCACATGAATGGGTGTCTTTCCATTGACAGCAGTGGCTGCTGGATCTGACACATGGACCTTTAACTGGATCACTTCCTTGTGGGCAGTAGACAGGTCAGGCATCCCAAGGCAAAATTTCACACCTACAGTGCTCGATTGGAAGATCTTTGACTTGAATTCATTCCTCCCCGGGACTGATCCAATTCCCATTGAGGTCATTGGAATAACTCATGTGGTTTACAGAGCTGGATCAGGCCCTAAATTTGCTGTCCATCTTCCGGGTGTAACCGCCACCAGGTAGCTTTGAACCTGGGACCTCTGGAGCTTAGTGTAGGTGCCTCTACAGCTTGAACTATAAAGTTAGTTGGCTCCCTTGTTCTTATCTCTTGCTGCAAGTGGCGTACGTGCCACTACGGGTCAGTGAACCACACTAGGTCTATGTCTACACTGCCAGCTTTGCTTTGCTGGCAGTGCCTATGCAAATGAAGTGCGGGAGAGGAATAAGGATCTTGCACAAAATGGGGTTTTTGCACCAAAAAAAGTCCACACTGCTTGTTTTTGCGCAAAAGCAGCATGAATAAATTATGCAAATGAAGTGCAGTGATATGCTAATCCATACATCATTTGCATAGGCTCTTGTGGCAAAAGTCTCAGTGTAGATGAAACCTAGGTGTGTTGGTTACCAGGGCACAAGACAAAGCTATCTGTTGTACAAGGTTTTCTCTCCTTTGTGTGTGTTTTGTGGGGAATTATTTAATAAGGGCATATGTTTTGTTTGAGTTATCTCCCGCCCCAGTGGCTCGGGACATATTTTGCTTCTTGTTGTTGTTTGTTATAAATGTAGAGGTTGACAATTGTGCGTGCCATGCCAACGGGCTAAATTAAGCAATCTGAATAATAATTACTTCAGTGAACAGTAGTCATCTTGTGCAGAGAAGACGTGCACAGTCCATGCTGGGCCCTGTTTCAGTTTATTCATGCTACTTGGAAATGTGCAATATTTTAAATACCTCTGCACCCAGCAGATTATCTTCTTACTATAAAATACGCCAGGTTGAGCCTCTCTAGTTCGGCAATCTCGGGACCTGACTGGTGCTGAACCAGAGAATTTGCCAAACTACGGGAAGTCAATATTGTCTAGCAGCATTACCAGCACTTCCATTGCTTACTGGGCTCTTAGAAGACATTTAAGGGTAAATTAGAGTTAAAGAGCAGCACAGAACACTGTGTGTGGCTGTAAACAAACTTTATGGCACCGTGGGAAACTTGGCCACACCCATAATACATGGACATCCGGCTAACTAAAATCATGCTGGACCACTTAAGTCGCCAGACCAGACAGTGCTGGACTATAGAGGTTCATCTTGTAGCAGATTAACTCAGCATTGCCCCAGGTCCTTAACTCAATGATGTATTTTTTAAAATAAAAGGAAAAGTACATGTTTTAGTAAATGATTATACTTTTTAATAAACTAAATTTTTATTTTGGATTTCTTTAAAAAAAAGAGATTGTTAAAATGTCTGTTTAATTTTTTTAGTACATTTTTTAAAATGGGAATTCCATCAAGTGTATTTTTTTCTTTATCCCTAGAAACTCTTACCATTTGCTATGTTTTCACAAAAAAGGATTATAGATAATTGGGTTTCCAATAACATTGTCTTCAAGTTTTCGAACCTTAAGCATTGATTTATCTGTGCCAAAACAGAGCATTACTCCAAATTTCTCCATTTTATCTCTCTCTTTTTGTAAGATTTACTGAGAAGCAATCCTAGTCCAGGTCCATCCTATGTTTCTGGCTTATCTTGATTCGGTCTCTTTTAACTTTGGTTCAGTTATGTCAGTTTTGAGGACTGTAATTGATTTGATGATTCTGTCCCTTTTCTGGTTGGTTTTATGAGAAGCAATCCCATTCCAGGCACATCCCATTTTCCTGGCACAACCAAACCCTTCTGTTGCTTTAAGTTATGATTAGGGATGTTAAATTTTGATTGATCAGCCTATGCTACACATAAGATCAGGCCTCCTCTTGCTAAGACTGGGGCCTGGTTTACTGGGCTGATGTAGCTGCCTTGCTCAGGCATGTGAAAACATCACATTGTTAAACTGAACTGAGTCCTGATAGAGAGATGGCTAAGTCCATGGAGACTTCGTCCATCATCCTCCCACCTCCTGTGGGGGTGGATTTATTGCAGTAATGGAAACTCCCCCTTCCATCTCAATAGTAAGTGTCTACAAGGCTGTGCTCCTGTGGCACAGCTGTAGTGCCGCTGCCGGAGTGCTTGTAGTCCAGACGCAGCCTCTGTGCCTTTCTGCAGAGATGTTTTAAAATCACAAGTCAAGGACCATCATTTTAGTTGTCAGAAGGGGAGATTCTGGAAGCTGTATCTGCCTAGGCCGGATGCAGTGATGCTCAACCGGGAGCACACATCCCCCTGAGATGCAGAAGTGTTCTGGGGGCACATCCGCTCCTCTAGATATTTTCCTGCTTTTACAGCAGGCTCCATAAAGAGCACTACCAAAGTCAGCACAAACTAAAATTCTATACAATGACTTGCGTTAAGTAAGGGCTGTTCAAACAGCTAGCTGGTTAAACGATAATGCTTAACCGATTCACCATTTTAACTTAGGGCCTGCGCCCGGCCCTGCCACAGCCGTGAGGTTCTGTCACGTCCGTGAAGTCCTGCCACCCAGCCAGGTCCCCTCACTGGGGCTGCTCCAGCCAGTGCAGCTGGAGTTCAGCAGCAAGGGCCTTGTGCTTACCAGTATGTTTATCAGTTAACCGTTTAATGTCCCTGTTTTACACTGCTCTATTGACTATAGGCTGACACATAAGTACAATATTTGTATTCCAGCCATTATATTTTGATGGTAAAAATGAGAAAGTAAGCAGTTTTTCAGTAATAGTGTGCTATGACTTTGGGCAGGGGGTAGGTCCAATTTTGTAAGCGAGTAAGTTTTGGGAGTGCTGGGTTTTTTTTGTTTTTTTTTTCCAAACTAGGTGAAACTTGAGATACATGAGACACATCAGACTCCCGAAAGGGGGACTGCTGTCTGGAAAGATTGAGAGCCATATCCAGCCCACAAGGCGCCCTGCACCCCCTCTCCTGCCCCCCTTGGGAAGCTGGCGCTCTAACCTTGCTTGGGGTGTGGGACAGGCGTGCCAGTGCAGGCTTCCTGCTGTGGGGTGGGGGAGAGCTCCGAGCCCATGGCCCACCTGCAAGGTGGTCACAGACCACACTTTGTGAACCGTTGACCTAGCAGAATGGGCTTCGATTGGACTGTCTAAGTGCCGGGTGTAATACAAAGCAATAGCAAAAGGCCTTGCTGGCCGCTGTCAATAGGTCAGAGAAGGGATTCTAATTGCTTTTCTCTTCCTTTCTCTAGAAATTGGCAGCCGAATGCCAGAGTGCGGGATACCCCGGCACCTTGATTCCCTATAAGTGCGACCTGTCCAACGAAGAGGAGATCCTCTCCATGTTCTCTGCCATCAAGACGCTACACCAAGGGGTGGACGTGTGCATCAATAACGCCGGCTTGGCTTGCCCCGAGCCCCTGCTGTCGGGGAAAACGGAGGGTTGGCGGATGATGATAGATGTGAGTAATACGCATGGGAGATGGTGGGAACGGTGACGGCGTGGACAGAGAGATCCTTGGTCACGGCAAAGACTGGCATTGGGAGGCAGTGACAACAGTCGCCTGCTGGCTGGGTGCTAGGGATGGGAAAATGTGGTTTGCCTGATCCTTGAAGCACCTGGAAGTGATTAGAGGAGGGGAGAGACTGGGAAAAGGGAGCTGAGAGGCAAGGAAATCTCCACTGTTGGAGGTGAGAAATGGAGCAGAGACCAGGTGGCGTGAAAACCAAATACAAAAAGCCAGTGGGGAAATGAGGAGCAGGGCTGGGGAGAGGACACCACTGTTCCCTCTAATCTTTTCCAGCCAGGTGTGGAATAAATAGGTTTATGTGCACCAAGACGCGTGCACCACCAGTAGGAACAAAATCCTTGCTGTAGGTGCTCTGCTAATCAGCTGGGCAGCATTTGAATCTCTCCTGGGCGGCCGCCCAAGCGCCCAGCTTACGGGGAATCCTGGAGGACACCCTAATTAAAAAATACGTGGGGGCATATCAGCCTGAGTATTTGTATGGCCTTCATTTCTGTAGTATCTGGGCGCCTTACAGTGACTCATAGGTCCCAAGTTGAGGGGCACGAGGGGTGAAACTCACCCAATGCCATGAGTGGAGGGAGCGGGTACCCATAGCAGGGGTCTGTCTCCCCTGACCCCCACTCACTGGCAGCGGTGGGGCACGTGGAGTAACGGCCCCAGCTCGCTGAGCTCCTGCAGTCGCACTGCTCATGGGAGGAGGCAGGGCGGTCCCACACGCACTGGTGGGGGGGTGGAGCAACGCAGCTGGAGAAGCAGTGAGATGGGGCTGTTGCTCTACTTCCCCCACGTACGTACGTGTGTGTGTGTGTGTGTGTGTGTGTGTGTGTGTGTGTGTCATCGCTTGAAAGAGGGTGAAGAGATGGGGTAGGAGCAAAGCAGGGAACGAGGAAAGGGCAGATGTTACAAGGAGGAGGGAAAAAAATTGTTCTCCTGAACCTCTGAGGCTAGGACAAGAAGCAAGGGGCTTAAACTGCAGCAAGGGAGGTTTAGGTTGGACATTAGGAAAAAGTTCCTAACTGTCTGGGTGGTTAAACACTGGAATAAATTGCCCAGGGTGGTTGTGGAATCTCTGTCTCTGGAGATATTTAAGAGTAAGTTAGATAAATGTCTATCAGGGATGGTCTAGACAGTACTGGGTCTCGCCATGAGGGCAGGGGACTGGACTCGATGACCTCTCGAGGTCCCTTCCAGTTCTGGTGTTCTGTGAGTCTGATTCTATATCTCAAGGCCAATTCATTTTCCCAGGTTTTCCTTGGAGGTAGGTTATTAACCACATGCCCTTTGAACGGTGACACAGTTCAGTATTTCCCTTCCAGTCTATTTAAAAAACCCTAATTTTTAAACTAAAATTGGACATTAAATGCCTGGTGCTAGCTTCTGTAGCTAATCCCATTAGTGTCACAGTTTGTTGCAGTGACAGGTGGTACTTTAGGCTGATTCATATTAGGGATGTAAGCGACTAGTTGACTACCCGATAAGTTTAGGCTTATTGGGTCGTCGAGGCACTACTCGACTAGTCGCTTCCCCCCCTTCTTCTCCGCAAAAATGCCCCAATCGCGAAAATAACGATCGGGGCTTTTTTCCGGAAAAGCGCGTCTACATTAGCCACGGACGCTTTTCCGGAAAAAGTGCTTTTCCGGAAAAGCATCCTGCCAATGTAGAGGCGCTTTTCCAGAAATACTTATACGGAAAAACTGTTCTGTTTTAAGCATTTCCGGAAAAGGGTGCCAGTGTAGACGTAGCCTTGGGGTACGTCTAGATTACATGGCTCCGTCGACGGAGCCATGTAATCTAGACGTACCCCAAGGCTACGTCTACACTGGCACCCTTTTCCGGAAATGCTTAAAACAGAACAGTTTTTCCGTATAAGTATTTCTGGAAAAGCGCCTCTACATTGGCAGGATGCTTTTCCGGAAAAGCACTTTTTCCGGAAAAGCGTCCGTGGCTAATGTAGACGCGCTTTTCCGGAAAAAAGCCCCGATCGTTATTTTCGCGATTGGGGCATTTTTGCGGAGAAGACTACTGTGCTGTCTACACTGGCCCTTTTCCGGAACAGTTTTTCCAGAAAAGGACTTTTGCCCGAATGGGAGCAGCATAGTTTTTCCGGAAAAACACTGACAATTTTACAGTAGATTGTCATTGCTTTTCCGGAAAAGCAAGCGGCCAGTGTAGCCAGCTCGCAGCTTATTCCGGAAAAGCGGCTGCTTTTCCGGAATAAGTGGCCCAGTGTAGATACAGCCCAAAAGTGGGGGAGAGCAGGAGCTGGTGCTGGGAGGAGCTGGCTTAAAAGCTGGTGCCCCTCAGCTCCATCTCCGTGGGGGCAGAGGCGGAGGGGGAAACGGTGCAAGCGGGGATGGAAGCAGTCCCCACTGCGCCTCTTCCTTTGAAACGTAGAAGAACCGCAGGCAGCTCTTGTAGGCAGAGGTGCAGCAGGATAACGAGCACCTCCCCTTATTGGCTAATTGAAATTTAACATCCCTAATTCATATCAGCCTTATGAGCTACAGATTCCCTTTTCCCCCGGTCTTTATTTCTTCACTTTTTTGTTCAAAATCTGGTTAGAGCTGGATCGTGCGGAACTGATTTCACGTGCCGCATTAGGAAATTGTGAAAGTCAATCACTTTATTACCAAAACAGCCTCCTGAGGTATGTACAGACAGTGCCTTGCCTAGTAGGACCACAGTCTGCATTGGAGACGCTACTGTGATATTAATAAGTGCATGTACTTACGGTTCTGTTTTCTGTGCTGCACTGGGCCTTTCAACATTGGAGGCAGAGGTGTGAGGTGATTTAGGGCCTTGCAGCATGAGAGAGACTTTCTGTTTTCACTCCCTCTTCTGGAAGCTTTATTGTTTCAAATGTTAAGTGATGGGAAATGGCAGAGAGGCCTCCTTAGTGGACGTGCCCGTTCTGCTCGTTGTGTTCAGACAACGTACCTGCGTGTGTCTGCTCTGGTGTAGCTGCGGCTGTATTGGCCAGGGTGATGTTACACCATCTGTGATAAAGTGGGCTATCCAAACATTGTCCAGGGCTTTATTAGCAGCTTGCTGGCAACAGAGTGCTGACCCTCCCTTGTGTCCAGTGAGCCCAGTTTCTGTGACACTTTTAATATGGAAGGGGTGTCCACGGTCATCCTGAGCAAAGCAACTTTACTGAATCTGATTTTTACCCTGAACATAGAAAATGCTACAAAAATAGCTCTGGGCCTTTCTTCCTCTGTGAATATTCCCTATGTCACAGCTGTGATCCCGCAGCCTGGTAATCTCACTCTCGGAACACGGTGGCTGTGTATCGCTTTTGGTCCAGCCATGGAGCATTTGCTATCTCTCCCTAATGCCATATCCATCAAAGAGATAACGCTTAGGACTTGCCACCTGTGTGCCTCTATTCAACATCCATCTGGTCTGTTTCTGATGCGCTTTCTGAAACTTTTGAAGTTTCTTGAAACAGAGGCTGCAGGCCCTTTTCATGGGCCATTGGGTCTTCGTGGTGCTGAGAGCAGCATGTGGAGAATTTCTTCAACTGCCCTGCTGGAGGAAAAGTGGGGTTGCCAGATGGTTTTAACAAAAATACCGGACACACTTGACATTATATCACAATCTACATGACATCTTATTTAGAAAATATGAAAATTTTCTCAAATTTTCTCAATTTGTTTCCCGAAGAGAAAGCTCAAATAATGGGCTGTCCGGTTCAAAACCGGATACCTGGCAACCCTAAGTGTCAGTGAATGCTTTTATTTTGAAGGGTTTTACAGAAACATTTTAAAGTCCAGCTCTGCTGAAGGAGAGAGGGGAAAAAAATCCCAAATAACCCTAGATCTCTTTATTAGGAGACACCTATGGCTTTGTAGTAGGGCAGGGCCCTAAGGCCATAGAGAATTCCTCCAGGAGGCTAGAGTGGCCAGTTCCTCCAGAGCCTATCAGGGGACAGGGAGGACTACAAAAGGAGCTGCAAAAACAGAGGCAGCTCGGTTGCAGCCCAGCCCTGGAAGGGAGAAGGTCAAGGCTGGCAGAACCATGGACAGCTCAGAGTGGGGAGCTGTTTAGAACATTATCTCCAGGAGGAGAGTCCAGAAGGCACCACTCTCATACTGGGTGGGGAAACAGACTGAGAAAATGGACTGGACTCAGAGATGCTCTATCAGGGCACAGAATAGGCCCCTGGTAAAGTCTATACCTCCAGGGGTTTGTGATTTCACACAAGGCTGTGTCTTGGCCAGAGGGCTGAGTAGCTGCAAAGCTTTTAAGACTGAGGCAGTGCAGGGTACTGCACTCAGCCTAATGGGGGCGCTCGCAGGAGGTGAGTGTCCACCCCCGTTAGAGGCCTCAGATTCAATTGGAGGGATTATAATAGGGTTTCTTCTTTCCTCACATCATTTCTAAGCTTTTTAAGGACTGACTTTTAACAATCCTTCTTCTTCCCATGGTTCCTTCCTTAAAACCTCTTACTGGTTTCCCTGAGGACTAGTTTCTGCGGCACTTTGTTCCCCTTTCCTTCATCTCCCCAGGGCTTAGCTGGCTCAGTTCCTAGAAGTCTCTCCATGTCTGACAGCAGCGTTATACTAAGTGAACTATTTGTTCTTTTTCCAGCAGTGAAAACACAGTCAACTGCTGTTTGTGTCTGCTGCTTTTATCTCCGTCTTTTCGGAGACGTGCTGTGCTCCCCTCCTACAAGACCTTCCCCATTAAGCTGTTGTGTTTGGTGGAGAAGTGCTGATGTTATGTGATCCCTGGTTGACAGAGCTCCTCAGTGGCTGTAAATCGGCAAACATTCAGGGGCGCAACACCCACGGATGCCATGTTGGCCCCGGGGCAGGCGTGCACTGGTTTCCCTGGGGGGAGGGGAATGCTGGGAGGAGGGAGATGCAGGGGACTCTCTGGCTCCCCTCTGTCCCCAGCAACAGAACGCTGTCCCCACTCCCCTGTCC